GTGGGGGGGAGTGGTGGTGGGTGGTGAGTGGGTGGCAGAGCTGTCAATCCGCACGGCTTATTCCGTGTTCTTGTGCAGAGAGATTGAGTTGTCAGGTTATACAGAGTGTAGCCGTTTCAATGCTGGGTAATGACAAGAATGTTTGTGTCTATTTGTTAGTGTTTGTTCCTTGTGATGGGACTTTGCAGGATGTACGTTGAGATGTGTAAGGATCACGGAGTGATCAATAAAGGTCTGAGTTGGGTCTGTAGTAAGGTAGGGCACTGATAAGGGGTTGACAGGTGTGGGGTGGTGAGTGGGGGTGAGTGAGTGGGGGTGAGTGAGTGAGTGAGTGGGGATGAGTGAGTGAGTGAGTGGGGATGAGTGAGTGGGGACGAGTGAGTGAGTGGGGACGAGTGAGTGAGTGGGGATGAGTGAGTGAGTGGGGATGAATGAGTGAGTGGGGTTGAGCGAGTGAGTGGGGGTGAGTGAGTGAGTGAGTGGGGATGAGTGAGCGGGGGTTAGCGGGCAGGGGTGAGCGGGCGGGGGTGAGCGAGCGGGGGTGAGCGGGCGGGGGTGAGTGAGTGAGTGGGGATGAGTGAGTGGGGATGAGTGAGTAAGGGTGAGTGAGTGAGCGGGGGTTAGCGGGCGGGGTGAGCGGGCAGGGGTGAGCGAGCGGGGGTGAGCGGGCGGGGGTGAGTGAGTGAGTGGGGATGAGTGAGTGAGTGGGGATGAGTGAGTGAGGGTGAGCAGGCGGGGGTGAGCGGGCGGGCGTGAGCGGGCGGGGGTGAGCGAGCGGGGGTGAGCGAGCGGGGATGAGTGAGTGAGTGGGGATGAGTGAGTGAGTGGGGATGAGCGGGCGGGCGTGAGCGGGCGGGGGTGAGCGAGCGGGGGTGAGCGAGCGGGGATGAGTGAGTGAGTGGGGATGGATGAGTGAGCGAGTGAGTGAGTCGGGGTGAGTGAGTGAGCGAGTGGGGATGAGTGAGTGAGCGAGTGAGTGGGGATGAGTGAGTGGGGGTGAGCGAGGGGTGAGTGTGGTTCGTACTGGAGGCAGCGGCTGACAAAGTCCACCAGCTGAGGGTGGTGTCCCTGCAGTGCGCGGTGCAGGGACAGGCTGCCAGGTGGACGCTGCTGGGACACGTTGTAGGGGAGACCCTCAGGGTCTGCAGAGAGACAGAGAGACGCACGCAGAGTCACCCGCCAGCACGTCGCCCACATACCCAGTCAGACACTTGACTACCCACCTTCATATACACCTACATACCAACTCACCCACCCACTATCTTACTCACTCACCCACCCACTCCCCTACCTACTCACCTACCCAACCACTCGCCCACTCACCCACCCACTCACCTCCCCACCCACCTACCTACCCACCCACTCACCCACCCACTCACCTACCTACTCACCTACCCACCCACTAACCCACCCACCCACTCACCTACCCACCCACCCACCCACTCACTCACTCACCCACTCACTCACCCACTCACCCACCCACTCACCCACCTACTCACCTACACACCCACCTGCTCACACACACCCACCTATGCTTCCTAGCGACCGCTACAGAAAGCCCCAAACCCCACCCCACCCCCCACCTCCGGCATATTCAGAGACCCCCCCCCCAGCCCCCCCCCAACCCCCCCCCACAAATGAACCCTATAAGAGCCTCCCTGCCACCCCAGCTAACAAGACGGAATGGGTTACGTCGCTGGCGCCAGCCTGCCCGAGCTTTCGACTCACCAAAGTAATTTGACCACTCATCCCCTTAACTACCCACCTTCCTATCCACCTACATACCAACTAACCCACCCACCCACTCACTCACCCACCCACTCACTCACCCACCCACCCACTCACCTACCTACTCACCTACCCAACAACTAACTCATCCACCCATTCACCCACTCACCCACTCACCTACCTACTCACCTACCCAACAACTCACCCACCCACCCACTCACCCACCCACCCACTCACCCACCCACCCACTCACCCACCCACTCACTCACCCACCCACCCACCCACTCACCTACCTACTCACCTACCCAACAACTCACTCACCCAGCCACTCACCCACCAACTCACCCACCCACCCATTCACCCACTCACCCACCCACCCACTCACCTACCCATCCACCCGCTCACTCACACGCCAGCCTGCCCGAGCCTTCGACTCACCAAAGTAAAGTGTCCTGTTAGGGGCTTCGTCCACCATCTTTGTCGGGGGCATGCCCAGGATCTGCACGTGGTTTCAGACGAAGACAAAAGGAGGAGGAGGGGGAGGGGGAGGAGGAGGAGGAGGGGGAGGAGGAGGGGGGGTTACAGCCGGTGTAGCCTCAGCGGGCCCATTGTGGCCGTGAAAGGGAATCAAATTCTATGAGTATGGGTCTCTGTGGGTCTGTATGGGTCTCTGTGGGTCTCTGTGGGTCTGTATGGGTCTCTATGAGTATGGGTCTCTGTGGGTCTGTATGGGTCTCTATGAGTGTGGGTCTCTGTGGGTCTGTATGGGTCTCTGTGGGTCTTTATGGGTCTCTGTGGGTCTGTATGGGTCTGTATGGGTCTCTGTGGGTCTGTATGGGTCTGTATGGGTATGGGTCTCTGTGGGTCTGTATGGGTCTCTGTGGGTCTGTATGGGTCTCTGTGGGTCTGTATGGGTATGTATGGGTCTCTGTGGGTCTGTATGGGTCTCTATGAGTATGGGTCTCTGTGGGTCTGTATGGGTCTCTGAGTATGGGTCTCTGTGGGTCTGTATGGGTCTCTATGAGTGTGGGTCTCTGTGGGTCTGTATGGGTCTCTGTGGGTCTGTATGGGTTTCTGTGGGTCTGTATGAGTATGGGTCTCTGTGGGTCTGTATGGGTCTCTATGAGTATGGGTCTCTGTGGGTCTGTATGGGTCTCTATGAGTATGGGTCTCTGTGGGTCTGTATGGGTCTCTATGAGTATGGGTCTCTGTGGGTCTGTATGGGTCTCTATGAGTATGGGTCTCTGTGGGTCTGTATGGGTCTCTATGGGTATGGGTCTCTGTGGGTCTGTATGGGTCTCTGAGTATGGGTCTCTGTGGGTCTGTATGGTCTCTATGAGTATGGGTCTCTGTGGGTCTGTATGGGTCTCTATGAGTATGGATCTCTGTGGGTCTGTATGGGTCTGTATGGGTCTCTGTGGGTCTGTATGGGTCTCTATGAGTATGGGTCTCTGTGTCTGTATGGGTCTCTATGAGTATGGGTCTGTATGGGTCTCTATGAGTGTGGGTCTCTGTGGGTCTGCATGGGTCTCTATGAGTATGGGTCTCTGTGGGTCTGTATGGGTCTATGAGTGTGGGTCTCTGTGGGTCTGTATGGGTCTCTATGAGTATGAGTCTCTGTGTCTGCATGGGTCTCTATGAGTATGAGTCTCTGTGGGTCTGTATGGGTCTATGAGTATGGGTCTCCGCGGGTCTGTATGGGTCTCTATGAGTATGGGTCTCTGTGGGTCTGTATGGGTCTATGAGTATGGGTCTCCGCGGGTCTGTATGGGTCTCTATGAGTATGAGTCTCTGTGTCTGCATGGGTCTCTATGAGTATGGGTCTCCGTGGGTCTGTATGGGTCTCTATGAGTATGAGTCTCTGTGTCTGGGTCTCTATGAGTGTGGGTCTCTGTGGGTCTGTATGGGTCTCTATGAGTGTGGGTCTCTGTGCAGACCAACAGAGACCCATACCCATAGAGACCTGCCTGCCCACCCACCATACCCACCGTACCCACCCACCATACCCACCCACCATACCCACCGTACCCACCCACCATACCCACCCATCCACCTTACCCACCCACCCACCGTACTCACATCACCCACCCACCATACCCACCCACTATACCCACCCACCAAACCCACCCACTATACCCACCCACAGCCCGTACCTCGATGCAGCAGTGCAGGTGCTCTTCGTAGGTGCGCGAGTCAAAGAGAACCTTGCCGGTGGCCATCTCGGCCACGGTGCAGCCCAGCGCCCACATGTCCACGGCACACGTGACCTGGTAGCCCAGCGGCAGCTCCGGGGACATGTAGGGCAACGTCCCACCCACGGTTTGGGCTGCACAACAACAACAACAGCAGCAACAACAATGACAACAACAACGACAATGAATATGAAGTAGAGGTCGTCCCAGATTGTCTTCACCAGAGGTACCGTGACCCCACCACTACCACTACCACCACCACCACCACTACCACCACCACCACCTCTACCACCACTACCACCACTACCACCACAACCACCACTACTACTACCACCACCACCACTACCACCACCACTACCACCACCACCACTACCACCACTACCACCACCACCACTACCACCCAGAGGTCGCAAACGGGTTTTGATTCCTTACCCGTACCCGTACCCGGCCGCACCAGGGTCGCAAACGGGTACCTGTACCCGAAACCCGGCCGGGTACGGGTAGCCGTTTGCGACCCTGGTGCGGCCGGGTACAGGTATGGGTAGGCCGTGAGTCACCGGTGAGTCACCGTTTGTCACTCATTTCCCAACGTCTTGTCTCTTCTCACAATTCAAGTTCCTAGAATTAACCCACCCGCGCCTGCAACATGGCTTCATCTCAGGAGGTCGCAATCGGGTACCCGATACCCGTACCCTACCCGTTACCCGGCCGGGTACGGGTACGGCCGGGTACGGGTAGACCGTGAGTCACTGGGTGAGTCACCGTTTGTCACTCATTTCCCAATGTCTTGTCTCTTCCCACAATTCAAGTTCCTAGAATCAACCCACCCGCGCCTGCAACATGGCTTCATCCCAGGAGGTCGCAATCGGGTACCCGATACCCATACCCTACCCGTTACCTGGCCGGGTACGGGTACAGCCGGGTATGGGTACGGGAAACCCATTTGCGACCCTGGTGCGGCCGGGTACAGGTACGGGTACGAGGGGTAAGGAATCAAAACCCGTTTGCGAGCTCTGCAGCACAGCGGGTGGCGCTGTGCAAGTAGCGAATTGGAGCGTCCTGGTCACGTGACGCTGAACCTCACTGAGTGGCTGCGTCGGGTGGCGGCGGGTCGGACGACACAACGTTGACATTGACGCGAACTAACCCTGAAAAACAAATCTCCACGCACGCAAAGCCACTCACAGTGAGACTTCAGGTAGCAGCTGCACCCGAAGTCGGTGACCCTCACTTTGCCGGCCGCCGTGAGTAGAATGTTGTCCTGGACAAAGGGGGAGAGACGGAGAAAGAATGAATTCTAGATTTGAAGCTTTCGTGACTGCAAGGATTCATATTCTTAGGTTTTTTCGGTAAAGTCACGTAGGTAAAAAATTTAAATTAATAAAAGTAAAATAAAATAAAAATAAAAAATCACGACGTTTCGGAGGCAACACAAGCTTCCGTCTTCAGGTGGAACCGTCACAACCACGACAGCTGTATTAAGTAAATGAGAGATTACAAGAGATACCACTCCGTTTATATAATGGTTGAGGGGGGAAGGGCCAGGAACGGCACACTTTTTATTAATATGGTAAGGTGAGGCTTAAGACTAAGAATAGACTGCATAACAAAAGACTGAGCCTGTATTATGGAGAGGTGCGGTTTGTGACTAACGCCTAGCCTACATAACAAAAGTGTGAAAAAAAGAAAAACTAAACCTGGTAAAACAAAACTGGCTGTCTATCAGAAGGAATTCCACTCTGTGAGGTTACAGCAATAGAGTGTCCAGCCAGTAGCGGGTATGTCAATCAAAGTGACGCATTGACACCCACACGGGCTGCAGGGTTTTGGTGGTGCATGTTGTTGCTGCCATTTATTGTGAAAATTTCGTCACAGTTCCTATGACCACTGTTTCATTGCTTTCATGGCTTTATTTTGGTGATTTCGAAAAGTGTATTGGTTTAGCCATGTTTGTTTGTGATCGCTGCAAAGTGTGATCCGTGTTTTGATTTGGTGTGCTGATCTTAAAGGGGCATTGAAAAATGTTGACACTTCGACTGATGCTCCTGCTGTTGTGGAGTGACTCATGCAGCCAGCTATGGCTGCAGGGTTTGGTGGTACATGTTGTTGACGTCGTTTATTGTGAAAATTCGGTCACAGTTCATATGATCACTGTTACATTGGTTTCATGGCTTTATTTTGGTGATTGTATTGGTTTAGCCATGTTTGTTTGTTGTAGTACAGAGTTAGACTGATGGCCTTAATCTAAGTTGTCTTGTGGATGTTGTTGTTGTTTGACTTGCATCCCACTGGGATTTTTGCACACAGCGTTGGTGTACGGTGTTTTTTTCTGCAATATTTTGCTGTCTTTTCTTGGATTTTCTGTTTGCACTCAGTCACATATTCACTTTAAGATGTTTTCTTGTTCATGTTTTTTGTTTGTTGCGGTTGCACCCGTGACCCCACCACTACCACTACTACCACCAACACCACCACCACCACTACTACCACCACCACCACTACCACCACCACTACCACCACTACCACCACTACCACCACTACCACCACTACCACCACTCCCACCACTACTACCACTACCACCACCCCTATTACCACCAACACCACCACCACTACCACCACCACTACCACCACCACTACCACCACCACTACCACCACTCCCACCACTACTACCACTACCACCACCACCACTACTACCACCACCACTACTACCACTACCACCACCACCACCACCACCACTACCACCACTCCCACCACTACCACCACTACCACCACTACCACCACTACCACCACTACCACCACTACCACCACCTTCCTCCAGATGGACGGAGCCAGCGCATCGACCCCGCGATCAACAGCGGCCGGGCTGCCTCGGCGCCAGCTAACCGAGTCCCCGGTGAGAGGGTGCGATCACCGCCCCCGCTCCGCTCACCGGCTTGATGTCCCCGTGGACGATGCCCCGTCGCTTGGCGTACAGCAGGAAGTCGAGGATGGTCCTGGTGTACTCCCTCAAGCGCCTCACGCAGATTCGCTTGATGCTCCCTTTGCTCATCACGTCGTAGAGGCTCTTCCTGTGACGACGACAACGACGACAAGGACGACGATAATTGGGTTTTTACCCTTCTATCTGGCAACAAAACTGACACCTTCTAGATTTGAAGCTTTCGTGACTGCAAAGATTTATATTCTTAGGTTTTTTCGGTAAAGTCACGTAGGTAAAAAAAAAATTTAATAAAATAAAAATAACATAAAAATCACGACGTTTCGGAGGCAACACAAGCTTCCGTCTTCAGGTGGAACCGTCACATAACGACAGCTGTATCAAGTGACATTTAATTTGTCTTCACTTGATACAGCTGTCGTGCTGTGACGGTTCCACCTGAAGACGGAAGCTTGTGTTGCCTCTGAAACGTCGTAATTTTTATTTTATTTTTATTTTACTTTTATTAATTTAAAACATTTTCCCACGTGACTTTACCGAAAAAACCCTAAGAATATGAATCCTTGCAGTCACGAAAGCTTCAAATCTAGAATTCCGAAATAAATCAACTATCAAGCGGAGCAATGGACACGCACGTGGGTGGGGGAGGGGAGGTAGGGGGGGAGGTTCGCGTACTTCAAGAGCTCGACGACGAGGCAATTGTGTCCGCGGAATTGGAACGTGTCCAGGAGCCGGATGACTCCGTAGCGCTCATCGCTGGCCTTGCCCTGCAGCTCCTTGGTCACCTCCAGCTCCGTCCTCTGGCGGGACGCTGTCGAGGTGCTGCGTAGAGGGAGGGGGGAGGCCACGAAATCAACGGTGACTCTGTGTGGGTGACTCTGTGTGGCTGACTCTGTGTGGGTGACTCTGTGTGGGTGACTCTGTGTGGGTGACTCTGTGTGGGTGACTCTGTGTGGGTGACTCTGTGTGGGGGGGTATGTGTGGGTGACTCTGTGTGTGGGTGACTGTGTGGGGGGGTCTGTGTGGGTGACTCTGTGTGGGTGACTCTGTGTGGGTGACTCTGTGTGGGTGACTCTGTGTGGGTGTCTCTGTGTGGGTGACTCTGTGTGGGTGACTCTGTGGGTGTCTGTGTGGGTGTCTCTGTGTGTGGGTTTCTCTGTGGGTGTCTCTGTGGGTGTCTCTGTGGGTGTCTCTGTGGGTGTCTCTGTGGGTGTCTCTGTGGGTCTCTGTGGGTGTCTCTGGGTGTCTTTGTGGGTGTAGTTTGCAGCAGTTTTACGGCAGTTAGCATTTTGTCAGCGAGTCCATAGTCAGTGGCCGTGTTCACGGCGGTGCCTCCAATCGTTTGATGATTATTGTCCGAGAGCGCGGGCAACCGCGGACTCACCACAAGGGCAGCGACAGCATCTTGACGGCCACGAGCGTTTTGGTTTTGTGGTCGAGGCACTGCAGCACCAGGCCCTGGCCTCCCTCGCCGATCAGCTTCTGCACCTCGTAGCGGTAGTGGAGCTGCTCCTTGCGGACCTGGGGAGGCGGAGGAGGAGGCAGGGACCGGTAGTCAGAGTCGTCGCAATCGGAGCGCCTGACGCTCAATGGTGGTGGCAGCAGCGGCAGTCGGGGCTTCCACGGCTGCCATTTTCCACGGCCGCCATTTTCCACAGTGGAGGTTTCTTTTCGTTTGGGTGTTAGATTGCGCGAATGTTTAAATGTTTCGTTAAACTACCGAATGCTTCAATCTTAATATGGAGCTTTCGTGACTGCAGGAATTACTCTTTGGTTCTTTCGGTAAAGTCACGTATAAAGATAAAATAATAAATTAAATAATAGCATACGACGTTGCAATCGAAACGTTGTATGCAATTATTTAATTTATTATTTTATCTTTATACGTGACTTTACCGAATGCTTCACTTGAAGCTTTTGTGACTGCAGGAATTAATATGTTTGGGTCTTTCGGTAAAGTCACAAAGATTGGTTCAAAGAAAATAATAAAAATAACAGAAAACTACGACGTTTCGATCGCAACGCAAGCGGTCGTCTAACTGTTATTTTTATTATTTTCTTTGAACCTGTCTACGTGACTTTAACGAAAGACCCAAGAATACCGAATGCCGTTAAAACTTGGGGGGATTGTCCGCCTTTTTGCGTTTATCCATCTAACCCTCAATAGTAAGACACTGGGTAGTGAGACACTGGCGGTGAGACACTGGCGGTGAGACACTGGCGGTGAGACACTGGTGGTGAGACACTGGTATTGAGACTAGGCCCTAACAAAGGCTGCTTTCTTTGGTGTAGACCAATCAGTATCAAAGGCAATGCCACATATTATCAGAGCATGTTTCTGTCTGTATGTTCACCGCAAGTATGTGTTTTATTTACAGAAAGGCTACAGCCTATTGTTACGCTGTTAAAGGCCCCACCACTGACCTGCTATGTAGCTCTTCTTTTTCAAGAGCGACCTGACCATCACAAATCATTGCTCAACGAAGTGGGGCCTTCTCATTACCACCGTGTGGAAATGTGTAGCGGAAGCCAATTGCTCTAAATGTGTGGTGACGTTGTTTCTAAATGTGGAAGAAAAAACAAGTATAACCCGTAAAAACAAAGTTTTTCACTATAAATCCTTTTTATGCGTGGCGGCTAGAGTACTCTCGTCCTCTGGCTTGAGATGGCTGCCACCTATGGGTCAGATGATTGCATTGAACCATTAAGCAATTGGTAATTAAATATTATATTTTTGTCCTAAAAAGTGTAAAATTTTGGAAAAACATTTTCACGAACATTAATTGTCACGCACAACGAGTCTGTGTGGAAAATGTCAGCTCGATTGGATCACGGGAAGTGGGTTAAAAAACGACCGAAAGATTTGCACGGTCGTAAGCAAGCAAGCAAGCAAACTTAATATAAAGGATTTAAAAACGGAGGACCCGGAAAAATCCACGCAACCACGGGCAGAGAGATAGAGACACAAACTCCAAATATGCAGCAGCAGGCGTCAGGGTCGGTATCGAACCCACGACCTCCTGTATACCAAGAAAGGGAGTTAACATCTCCTGGCCACCGTGGCTGACGTCGTTGTGAGTGGATTAGCGAAAGTTTGCTTCATATGGTGCGAAATAACTTTAATACATACACAGAAACCCAGATCCTGAGAGACCCACAGACACCCAGACCAATAAAGACCCACACAGATCCTTAGACACCCACAGAGACCCCAGAAACCCGTAACAGAATCTCAACTGACTGTCTGTGTTTGGTGGTGGTGGCAGATTTAACAATTACACATTTATACTCATGCCTTCTAACCCAACAAAACCTCTGTGGGTGTCTAATGGTGTCTCTTTGGGTGCCTCTGTGGGTCTCAATGGGAGTGGGTCTCTGTGGGTCTCTATGGGTGTCTCTGTGGGTCTCTATGGGTGTCTCTGGGTCTCTGTGTGTGTCTCTTTGGGTCTCTATGGGTGTCTCTGTGTCTCTGTGGGCCTCTGTGTGTGTCTCTGTGGGTCTCTATGGGTGTCTCTGTGGGTCTCTATGGGTGTCTCTGTGGGTCTCTGTGTGGGTCTCTGTGGGTCTCTATGGGTGTCTCTGGGTCTCTGTGTGTGTCTCTTTGGGTCTCTATGGGTGTCTCTGTGTCTGTGTGTGTCTCTGTGAGTCTCTATGGGTGTCTCTGTGGGTCTCTATGGGTGTCTCTGGGTCTCTGTGTGTGTCTCTTTGGGTCTCTATGGGTGTCTCTGTGTCTCTGCGGGTCTCTGTGTGTGTCTCTGTGGGTCTCTATGGGTGTCTCTGTGTCTCTGTGGGTCTCTGTGTGGGTCTCTGTGGGTCTCTATGGGTGTCTCTGGGTCTCTGTGTGTGTCTCTGTGGGTCTCTATGGGTGTCTGTGTCTGTGTGTGTCTCTGTGGGTCTCTACGGGTGTCTCTGTGTCTCTGTGAGCCTCACAGGGATGTAGTTGTTGTTATCGTCGTCGTAGCCATCATTGTTCTTGCCGCCCCGGGGTTTGTCGACCTCGTCCACAGTGAAGAACCAGACTTGTTCCATGGCCGCCAGCTCCAGCTTTTGGCGATGACTCAGCTGAGGCCCAAAGAGATCCAGGATCGCTGCACACGTGACAACAACTTAAACTTTGAACTATTTTGTTTTGTTTACATGCCAGGTAAGGCCACCGCTAGAGCTACATCGTCGTCATCATCACGTGGAGACTCATCACTCCACCCATACTCACAGAGACCCACAGAAACCCATACTCATAGAACCATAGAGACCCATACACATATAGATCCATAGAGACCCATACTCATATAGATCCAGAGACCCCGGCATTACTTTGCCGAATGAACCAACGAGTATGGATCCCTGCAGTCATGAAAACTTCAAATTTAGATTAAACTATAATATTTATTATCTTGGCAGGTAAGGCCCTACCCAAGTTGCTAATATCATCATCTTCATCACGTGCAAATATATAGCGGCAGCCAAATACTCTATACCCATGCAACATGGCTGCTGTGACATCCCCCATGCAACATGGCCACCATGACATCCCCCATGCAACATGGCCACCATGACAACCCCCATGCAACATGGCCGCTGTGATATCCCCCATGCAACATGGCTGCCGTGACATCCCTGATGTAAAATGGACAAAATAGAATTCCCCCATGCAACATGGCCACAGTGACATCCCTCATGCAACATGGCCGCCCTACAGACCCCCATGCATCATGGCCGCCGTGTAATCCCCCACGTAACATGGCCATAGTGACGGCCCCCATGCAACATGGCCGCAATGAAGTCCCCCATGCAACATGGCTGCCACAAAGTCCCCTAAGCAACATGGCCGCCGTGAAGTCCCCCATGCAACATGGCGGTAGTGACTTCCCCCCCCCCCCCCCATTCACCGTGGCCATGTTTTTTCTCACTGCTGTTCTCACCTCGAGGCGATTTGCTGCGGATGGGGCCGGTGCCGGCTGCGGACAGCGCGCTCCACGTGTTGCCAGAGACTCCCTCCCTCCTCCTCGCTCCAGCTTGGCTTGTCTACACGCACAGAGACAAAGATAAAGATCCTCCGTGTAGCCTTAACAGACTATAGGGGCAAGTGCTGTTAGCGAGCATCACCTATGAAGGCCGGCACGGTACACGAGGGGGTGGGTGGCCAGCACCACGCTCGACCGCCTTTGTCTCCCCAGTGGCGATGTTTACACACCGCACCAGGTACTCATTTAAGGCTGAGTCGACCTGGGGGAGGCCCAGGGCCAGTTTAGTGCTGGTGGTGTTCATAAGGGATGGTGGTGTTCATAAGTGTGGGTGGTGATCATAAGTGTGGGTGGTGTTTGTAAGGGATGGCTGTGTTCTTAAGTGTGGGTGGTGTTTGTGAGTGTGGGTGGTGTTTGTGAGTGTGGGTGGTGTTTGTGAGTGTGGGTGGTGTTGGTAAGTGTGGGTGGTGTTGGTAAGTGAAGGTGGTGTTGGTAAGTGTGGGTGGTGTTTGTGAGTGTGGGTGGTGTTGGTAAGTGAGGGTGGTGTTGGTAAGTGAAGGTGGTGTTGGTAATTGTGGGTGGTGTTTGTGAGTGTGGGTGGTGTTGGTAAGTGTGGGTGGTGTTGGTAAGTGAGGGTGGTGTTGGTGAGTGTGGGTGGTGTTTGTGAGTGTGGGTGGTGTTGGTAAGTGTGGGTGGTGTTGGTAAGTGTGGGTGGTGTTGGTAAGTGTGGGTGGTGTTGGTAAGTGAGGGTGGTGTTTGTGAGTGAGGGTGGTGTTGGTAAGTGAGGGTGGTGTTTGTGAGTGTGGGTGGTGTTTGTGAGTGAGGGTGGTGTTTGTGAGTGAAGGTGATGTTGGTAAGTGAGGGTGGTGTTGGTAAGTGCTGGTGGTGTTGGTAAGTGTGGGTGGAGTTTGTAAGTGGAGAGTCGGGGCCCATGCGTACATCCATGGTGTTGATGCTCAGAGTGGCTTCTCTCACGCAGCAGTCTCCAAGGTCTCTGTGTGGAAAGCTGTGGGAGGGGGGGAAGGGGGTGGAGATGGTGTAGAGAGTCACAACACGAACTCACATCCTCACCACTGTCACACATCCCCCCACCAGGAACCCACCATTCTCACCACGAACCCCTATCCTCACCACGAACTCAAAACACGGACTCACATCCTCAATACAAACTCAAAATATGGACCCACAAACTCACCACGGACCCACACACTCACCACGAACCCAAAACACGGACCTACACACTCACCACGAACCCACAACACGGACCCACACACTCACCATGAACCCAAAACACGGACCCACACACTCACCACGAACACACAACACGTACCCACACACTCACCACGCACCCACAACACGGACCCACACACCACGCACCCACAACACGGACCCACACACTCACCACGAACACACAACACAGACCCACACACTCACCAGGCACCCACAACATGGACCCACAAACTCACCACGAACCCACAAAACGGACCCACAAACTCACCACGAACCCACAATACGGACCCACACACTCACCACGAACACACAACACAGACCCACACACTCACCACGCACCCACAACACGGACCCACAAACTCACCACGAACCCACAAAACGGACCCACAAACTCACCACGAACCCACAATACGGACCCACACACTCACCACGAACACACAACACGGACCCACACACTCACCACGAACCCACGACACGGACCCACACACTCACCACGCACCCACGACACGGACCCACACACTCACCACGAACACACAACACAGACCCACACACTCACCACGCACCCACAACACGGACCCACACACTCACCACGAACCCACAACACGGACCCACACACTCACCACGAACCCACAACACGGACCCACACACTCACCACGAACCCACAACACGGACCCACACACTCACCACGAACCCACAACACTCACCACACACTCACCACGAACCCACAAAACTCACCTCGTCAAACGTTTCGCTCGGATGGCTTCAGCAGAAGTCGTTGGAAAGGCGACGATGACGAAGCTGCAGCAGCTGCAAGTGTAAGAAGCTGCCGTCTCCTTCACGCGCGTCTACAACTCTGAGGAAGCACGTGGCGATTTCGACGTCACCGGTGACGTCTCAGTGCGAGGGGCGTGACCACGCCCCCTTAAGCCACGCCCCTCCGAGTGACGTCACCGCGCGCGACCACGCCCCCGGAAGTCGCCTCCCGCCCCTCCTCTTTGGGCGCCCCCCCACCTCCACCCCCAGATTCTACTTCCGCTTCCGGTCGGGGCCAATGGCGGCGTTGGCGGGAAAAATGTGAAGCCTGTCTGGGCCTCCTCGAGGTCGACTCAGCCTGAAGATGTCTCCACGGGGCTCTGTGTGAGGTGAGTCTGTGGGTCTCTGTGTGAGGTGAGTCTGTGGGTCTCTGTGTAGTGAGTCTGTGGGTCTCTGTGTGGTGAGTCTGTGGGTCTCTGTGTGAGGTGAGTCTGTGGGTCTCTGTGTGGTGAGTCTGTGGGTCTCTGTGTGGTGAGTTTGTGGGTCTCTGTGTGAGGTGAGTCTGTGGGTCTCTGTGTAGTGAGTCTGTGGGTCTCTGTGTGGTGAGTCTGTGGGTCTCTGTGTGAGGTGAGTCTGTGGGTCTCTGTGTGGTGAGTTTGTGGGTCTCTGTGTGAGGTGAGTCTGTGGGTCTCTGTGTAGTGAGTCTGTGGGTCTCTGTGTGGTGAGTCTGTGGGTCTCTGTGTGAGGTGAGTCTGTGGGTCTCTGTGTAGTGAGTCTGTGGGTCTCTGTGTGGTGAGTCTGTGGGTCTCTGTGTAGTGAGTCTGTGGGTCTCTGTGTGAGGTGAGTCTGTGGGTCTCTGTGTAGTGAGTCTGTGGGTCTCTGTGTGAGGTGAGTCTGTGGGTCTCTGTGTAGTGAGTCTGTGGGTCTCTGTGTGGTGAGTCTGTGGGTCTCTGTGTAGTGAGTCTGTGGGTCTCTGTGTGGTGAGTCTGTGGGTCTCTGTGTGGTGAGTCTGTGGGTCTCTGTGTGAGGTGAGTCTGTGGGTCTCTGTGTAGTGAGTCTGTGGGTCTCTGTGTGAGGTGAGTCTGTGGGTCTCTGTGTAGTGAGTCTGTGGGTCTCTGTGTGGTGAGTCTGTGGGTCTCTGTGTGAGGTGAGTTTGTGGGTCTCTGTGTGGTGAGTTTGTGGGTCTCTGTGTGAGGTGAGTCTGTGGGTCTCTGTGTGGTGAGTCTGTGGGTCTCTGTGTGGTGAGTCTGTGGGTCTCTGTGTGAGGTGAGTTTGTGGGTCTCTGTGTGGTGAGTTTGTGGGTCTCTGTGTGAGGTGAGTCTGTGGGTCTCTGTGTAGTGAGTCTGTGGGTCTCTGTGTGGTGAGTTTGTGGGTCTCTGTGTGAGGTGAGTCTGTGGGTCTCTGTGTGGTGAGTTTGTGGGTCTCTGTGTGAGGTGAGTCTGTGGGTCTCTGTGTAGTGAGTCTGTGGGTCTCTGTGTGGTGAGTCTGTGGGTCTCTGTGTGAGGTGAGTCTGTGGGTCTCTGTGTAGTGAGTCTGTGGGTCTCTGTGTGGTGAGTCTGTGGGTCTCTGTGTGAGGTGAGTTTGTGGGTCTCTGTGTGAGGTGAGTCTGTGGGTCTCTGTGTGGTGAGTTTGTGGGTCTCTGTGTGAGGTGAGTCTGTGGGTCTCTGTGTGAGGTGAGTCTGTGGGTCTCTGTGTAGTGAGTCTGTGGGTCTCTGTGTGGTGAGTCTGTGGGTCTCTGTGTGAGGTGAGTCTGTGGGTCTCTGTGTGGTGAGTCTGTGGGTCTCTGTGTGGTGAGTTTGTGGGTCTCTGTGTGGTGAGTTTGTGGGTCTCTGTGTGAGGTGAGTCTGTGGGTCTCTGTGTGGTGAGTTTGTGGGTCTCTGTGTGAGGTGAGTCTGTGGGTCTCTGTGTAGTGAGTCTGTGGGTCTCTGTGTGGTGAGTCTGTGGGTCTCTGTGTGAGGTGAGTCTGTGGGTCTCTGTGTGGTGAGTTTGTGGGTCTCTGTGTGAGGTGAGTCTGTGGGTCTCTGTGTGAGGTGAGTCTGTGGGTCTCTGTGTGAGGTGAGTCTGTGGGTCTCTGTGTGGTGA